AAAGGGTGTTTTTTTTACTTTTCATATAATACAGTAGTCACACAATGAGGCAGTTCATATTTGTCTCAGTGAATCATTAATTTTTTACAGACACCTGTACAAAATACTTGGACAAAAGCCAGCTAAGATTTTCTGTTATCTTGCATGTTTTATAAATCTATTCACGTCTAAATGCAGCACTTTTTTTTTGCGATGAGGCATTTATTTTTATACTAAAATATCTGAATTACTTTGAATAAAGCTGGAAATTATGTCCCTTAAAATAATTAAACAAATAAGGCACCAATGTTTTTGCAAGATATTTACATCTTTAAAGGACATTCGGTAGACTGATTCCCCACTGTTGGTTCAACCCCAAAACTTGTTTGTATTTAAAATTAATTATGACAATGCATATTTATATTGAAACAAACTATGATAAAGGGAATTATATTATATAACAAAGGGCAAGGTCACCAGAGTTCAACTATGTTATGAATTTTGCGGTATTTTACGGAGTATTTTCATCCAACCATGTAAGGAAATGTGTATTCCAAATATGGAATGATTACGCGTGTAAGCGTACTCTAATAATAAAAAAACATGGTAGCCCCCAGAGTTTGACCGGACCCCATACAAAGAAGTTCGCTCAATTTGTATTTCCGCATTCTCATGATGTATCTGTGAGAGGAAAAGATGTATAATAATAAGGTTTTTACGAGGATACCAAAAAGTATGCACTCAGAGACAGTACATGGTCCCATCAACCGTTGATACTCCCGCTGTACTCTTCGTGCAACTTTTTAGGGTATCCTTGTATTAACCTCATATTACACAATGAATGAAAAGTAGATTGAGTACTATGGCTACATCTTAATGTTCTGTACTAGATTTTTTAATGGATAATGCAAATAAAGTTCAGATGTGAAAATTATAAATTCCCAGTAATGTGAAACCTAATAAATTGACATGCATTAAAAACATTTGCATTATGGGTTTACAAGTACAATGCACATTTTTATAGAGCATCGAAGGGATAAAATAAATCGGTTTCACATCATTTAATAAACATGGTTTACCTGGAGAACTTTTATTTTTCTGTTATTCACAGTATTAATTTGTTTTTTTCTTTCTTTCAGACTGTCAAAAGGAACCAGAAACAGTATGATTTACCACTGAAAATAGTGTCTTATGAGGTAAGTGTTCCTTTCTTATAAATAAGCATATAGACAAGAAGTGATTTTGGTTCAAAATGGATGTCTGTCGGCCATTTCGTTTTAATTTGAATTTGAATGTGTTTGTACCTATTTATTTTGCTATAGTGATTGCTCTATAATTTCACAATCACCTCATGCCTTCTTTTACATTTTCACAACATACCAATGACAATAACGATATGGCTGTTCTTACAGGAATTTTTTTTTTTTAATCTATTTATTTATTCTAGGAGCTTTATGGTTGGACTATGGATGCTATTGTTAAGGAAATAGGATTGAAAAATAATTGTATGTATACTTTTATAAGTAAATCATTTTGTATTATCATCTTACTTTCATTACTGACTGGAAATAACTGAGAAAGCCAAATTATGAAGTCTTAGCTTTCCTTGATATTTTGTGTGATGTCTTTTATGTATTCAAGGTACCTTTTGTGGTGTATTCAGACGACAAGCTTTAGATCGTGGTGCAGTATTGGTTGAAGCTGATAAAATTGTGACAGGGCATAATGCAGATGATATAGCAGAAACTGTACTCATGAATGGTGAGCATGACAAAAGTGCCCTTTTCTGCGAGAACTTTGACTCTTTTGCTTGTGATGAAAGTGGTCTCTGTCTTCCTAGTTTTTTCTTCAATGTTTCCTGTTACTGCTCGTCTTTCAGTTCTTTTTTTCTTAAAACATTCCCTAACAATTTTAACTGCCTTTTCCTGATTGTTTCAACAAGTTTCCTTTCCGCTCCTGCCTTAGCCAGTACTTCCTCATTTGGCATGTGATCTGTTCATGATGCTTACATCATTCTTTTGTAAAACCACATTTTAACTGATTGTAATGTACGACCATAGAGATTTTCCATAACAAGGTCATGGCAATTAATTGGTTTAGCCTTTTGTATTAAATTTAACATCTTGATCTGAAAATGAACACCAGAGGGCGCTATTTTACTTTCCCCATATTGAATGCTGTACCCAAAATAATAGTCTTTGATTTAGTTCTTAGGGGAGATATAGCCAGACTTAGAAGGTGTACATCAATTACAACAGTAAGTAATACATGATATATATAATACATACTGGGAATTTATAAGGTATTACTAATATTCAGGAATATCATGGACCAAATCCTTTTAATAAACAGACTACAAGATATTAAAATTTTGTATTTTGAAATTAAAGAAGTTGGCAGTATTATTTCTGATAATTGTTAAATATAAGTTTCATTTCATGATATAGCCTCTAGGGGCGATATTTCATTTGTCAGGCCAGTAAATGTATATCATATGGGAATACATGTAGTGCAAAGAATGTCCATTCTCTGTTTGTTAATCATCAATGTAATTGTTTATTTGATTCACAGGGTAACGAAGGTTACTTACCAAGATGCAAACCACTCAAGTATACATATGAAAAAGAAATTGTAATGTGAGTGTTTTAATATAAATGCAATAAAAAACCAAATGATGTTCAAATAATATAAATCTTAATAGCATTTTAAATCTTATTTCTAAATGCTTGACAAAATGTAGCATTAGGCATTTGTTTTTAAAAAATAAGGCATTTTTTTGTTGTTGCTAGTATATATTTGACAGGGCACAAATTTTGTCCATCAAATTGTTAACAGAGCTTGCTGTGAAGTGATGAAAAAAAAAAGATCGACTCACACTCTTTTTTTTTTAGTGCTTTGCATGGCAACCGGAAACATAACTTTTTTCAGACCTTATGATAATGCTATAAACAACTTTAATTTTGTGAGGAACAAAAACCACAGTGAAAATCACAAAATTTTGTAAGCGGTGAAAACTAACATTTTCGCAAAATTTTGTCTTCATGAATGTCACAATATCCTAAAAGTTTATAACAGTAAAAATTAGATTGTTTACAGTACTTTGCTTTAGTGTGGTATTTGAAATTATTCATATTAAATACTGGTAACACAAATGCCTTTGTTCATGTTTGCTCACACAGGTACGCATATTTTAAAAAGTTAGATTACTTCTCCACTGAGTGTATATATTCACCAAACGCTTACAGGGGATATGCAAGAGCATTTTTAAAAGACTTAGAAGCCATAAGGTCAAGTTCAATTATAGGTAATGGTTTACTGCATGTTTGAAGTTCAGTATTATGATTTCTGCAATATCTACTTTGAAGTGATCCACTTCTTTATTCAGTGCATCACACAAATTTAAAAAAAAATAGTATTATTGTGAATTATTTTTATTTGCTCCACAACCAGATTAGTCTAACTATGTTTGCTAAAGAGATAATAAAATTTCGTAATTAAGTAACATCTTTTTTCACTACTATCGACACAACAAACCATTCCCTCATTTATTATAAATATTGATAAACTTCAATGCAAGTTGAATCTAACCAGCCAATCAATGAGTACAGCATGACATCATTTGAAAAATATCCAATGTTATCCCATCAGCCAATGGAAACCTCCAGTTTCAGTTTGAATTGTGAAATTTATGAATATTTATAAACTTCAATGCAAGTTGAATCTAACCAGCCAATCAATGAGTACAGCATGACATCATTTAAAAAATACCCAATGTTATCCCATCAGCCAATGGAAACCTCCAGTTTCAGTTGGAATTGTGAGATAAAGGGAATGGCTTTGTTGTGTTGATAGTAAATCTAAGATCATAAATAAATAGATATCACAGGCCTATTTACATTTTGTGTTTGTAATTGCCTTAGATATCATCCATTCTGGTGAGAGTCTGTCCATCAAGAAAGATGTAAAGATGCCAACTCAAATGACATGCTTGCAATGCGGCTACATATCAAGTAATAAAGTGTGTAAAGCATGTGTATTGTTAGAAGGGCTTAATAAAGGACTACCTAAGTAAGTGAAAATAAACAATGCAAGTATATGAGTGTTATGAAATGTATTGTCACATTAGTGAATGCGCTTGTGAAAAAGGGGGGTGGTGGATTTCAGAACCGGTTGTCCCTAAGTTGAATATTTTACAAGGGAATGTACAAATACCAAAAGGATTTAAATGATATATTGTCTGTATTTATTTATTTTAAGTCTATGAATGTGAAACATGTGTTCTATATTTTATGTAAAGTTTGTGAACTGTCAAAGATAACATCGGACATCTATATTACAGAATTAACATTTAAAAGTAAAGCTGGTATAGGAAAATAACTGCCTGAAACTACATATTTTTGATGGCTGAAAGTGAATCGATGTCGATTTGACCCTTGTTTACTCCTGGTAGCTAGAAAACAAGGGTACCTTGGGGAGACCCAAAAGTCGTTTAATGCCAGGGGCTAGAATTACATTAACATTTTCACCACCAGATTTTCTCACATAAATTTGTTTGCTCTTTTTATTCTTCAATATTTCTGGTAATGAACTCTAATTTTGGAGCCAACAGATAAAATTTGAGTCAGCTTTCAGTTTATATTCAAAAAATTTGGCAATTTATGTCCTAATCTTCTGAAGGAAAGTGCAGACTATAAACGGGACTATTTTGTGAATTTGTGATGAAAAGAGGGAACTGGTGGTGAAAAGGTTAAAGCATGCCTGCAAGAAGTGTTTAATAAAAGACCTCATTATTCAGCCACAGTTCTTGGGAATAATTCAATGTAACTGTAAAAGTGGACGCATGATAAAAATAGTCACTCTCTTGCCAGCCTGTCATATCAAGTATTAGTGTTGTTGATATTAATCATTCCTATTCCTTGTTATAGGCTTGGTATTGGTAAGGGATTGAAAGCAAGACAGAAGGTGAGGAATTCTTTTCATTGATTTTGCATTTTTTTTTTTACAGTCCCAGTCTCTCTTATTGAGTTGATATACATGTACATTTAAAACTGCAACTTGTTTTAGATGGCTGCCATGGTAATATATGTATGTGTAACACATACAAGTGCAATTTTTCACAAATGATTGGACAGATATTTGCATAAGTTGGCATTTGTACTTTCATTCATAAATGAGAAAGTTAAATGAACTGCTGACTAAGAAGAACCCTTGGTTTAATTTTTGAGCAATACAAAGAAATAACATGATTTTATTTAACACTTTTCACCAACTAAGAATTTGGTAGATTTTTGAGAATTGTTGAGGGGGATATTTGTGACCTGTTACCATGAAAAAACTTTCCGTTGCAATTAGTGGCAGGTTAGGCATGAACTGTTGCTTAATTGACTTGACTATATATAAAAGAGCTCTATAAACCAAATACCAAAATAAATGAAACAGTGTGGGAATTGTTTTAGACAGGATTTAATGTAATGGTATGGTATGACTATTAATTATCGTTATTGTTTGGTAAAATAACATATTGATTGACATTTAATATTTTTTTTTTCAGCTGGTTGCAGCAGGAATGACACTTACAAACACTGAATCACAATCAACAAGTACAGAAAGTACAGCAGTATTGAACACTGATAAACAAAGTCTTGAGTTTTGAAAGCACCAGGATTGCCTTACAACTTTTAACACCCTTGTATTGAAGAACACTGATTCAAGAATTGGTGAATTCTGTTGAGGCGTCATGAGTGTGGATATCAATTTTACCAAGTTATCGTTCAACTACTGGTAGTCATCTCTATGAACAATGGACAATGCTCATGCTGCAATACATGCTGTGCTGCTGCAATACATGCTGTGCTGCTGCAATACATGCTGTGCTGCTGCAATACATGCTGTGCTGCTGCAATACATGCTGTGCTGTGGTGTTATGTACACATCTCAGTTTCAGAAATTATGGCAGTGTTATGGTCTGTTGACAACAGCAAACGACATCAAAGTTTTTTTCCAGTAATAGAATTTGCTGTCATTCTGGGGCTAATCTGCACTGGCTCGGAAGGTTGTAAATGATTAGCTAGTTTGAATTTCTAATTTGCATAACATTACTGAGAATGAACGTGCATTCAACGCCACAAGTCTTTTGTTTTTTTAGCCAATCAGAATTCATCTTCCGAGCCAGTGCAGATCAGCAGTCATTCTGCATTATGATAAATTAGCCTTGGATCCAGGGCATTTTTTTTATATGAGGTCAACAATATTCAGTTGATTTGGACTATACCATTGAACAAAACTCGAAATTTTACAAATGTAATGACCAGAAACCTGATTTATTTATATTTACAAATCTCAATAAAACTTCCTTGATTTTGTTGATTTTGCAATGGCAGGATCTGTGGTGGTGTGTGAGTGGGCTGCTTTCGTCTAAATGTAAACAACACTCATTCTGATATCACAGTGGGTCAATGTCTATGTATACAAGTCCAGCCTTTTTTTTCTCTGGCTTTCATTTTGGATCACTATAGATTTACTCTAAATTATATGGATTTGTAATATTACAATGCACAAAAATAGTCAATGATTGTGGTCTGGTTATCTGTCAACTTATTCCAGCTGGATAAATAAATAGAATTTGGTCTTTGTATACTAGTATGTCATTCACCTTGCTCTTATGCTTGTTATATATTCTGTCTATTGAATGACTTCTGATGAAGCGCCAATGTCCAAAATGTATACTTTTACCAACTACCATTATCTATATTATAATTTATACTTTTCTTGATCATGAAAACTTTTACTCGAAAGTTTATTCATGTAAATCCACACTTTCTCCATGTTTATCCATGTTGATGATTACACAAAGGATCTTGTAAACAGGACACATTTTACAATGTAAAACTGTGTCAATTATCCACAATTGTAATCTTTGGAGCTATACTACTTCTCCAACTAAGTCAAACATTGCAGAGCTCCTGTGTGAATACAGAATATATGCAATCATTGGTGTTTTGAAATAATTAACTGAAAAATCTAAATCTGTAACAGTCAGTGAAGCATCGGATCAAAAGTGAGATTCATCAGCCATCACAAGTCCTACACACAACTCCATTCATGACCAATCATGTACTTCCATTTACCATCAGAAAACTGTTTGTGCACAACTATTAAACATCGTTTGCTTTACAGTAATAAAAATGTGAGATATGTAAAATAGATTCTTTTTCTAAATATGTCTACAAAAACCCACCAAATCATGATGCTATTCGTCAATTTTGATCAAAATTAGCTCTTATGACGTTTTGCTTAGAATGCCAATATGGCCTCTGGTGAGATTCAAACACAAACTCAGACACACACCTAACTCATGTACATATCACAGTAAACTACCACATGTTGCTTTCAACCACAAACCACCAGCTTAGCTCATTCAGTCGAGTGAACATTCAGTCATCATGTATCTGATCATTAAACTAGTACTTGCACATATTTAGAAATATTGCTCTGGAACAGCATTAATTAAAACAAAATGGCCACTAGTACTAGTAGGCCATTTTGAATACATCGTTATATCTGCGACATGATGTATAAGAGTATATAAAATTTAAACATGATATGACTTTATAAAATAGCTGCCAGTCAGCCATTTTAAATCCGATCTGAAAAACAAAATGTGCAACAAGGACCAATAATGTCCAAGGCATGTACAGGGTTTGAACGAAATTGACCCTTAAACGATTAAGATCCGGAATTCCAGAAATGCTTATTTTTTGTGAAATTTTTTTAGCACAAAAATGGCCACCATTCGGCCATTTTGGATCAGATCATCAAACAAATACATCTGTATATCTATGAAATGATGTATAATGGATATATGAAATTTTAACATAATCAGTTAAAGCATGTCAGAAATATTTAACTAGAACCGCATTCAAAATGATGTGCATCAAGTTCCCATAATGTCCAATATATGTACCAAGTTTTTACAAAATCTATCTGTAAATTGCTGAGATCCAGTTCCAGAATGACGAAAATACTGGATTTTTGTTGATTTTCATTACAAAAGTGGCCACCATTCGGCCATCCTGAAACAAATTGATGTGCATATGTATAATATGATGTATGTGTGAAGTTTAAATGTAATCTTCCCAGGCATGTCCAAGATATAGGTCCGGATGGATGGATGCACGCACGGACACATGCAAGGAGGTCAATCCAAGTCCCAGTTTTCAGACTGCATCCACACAAGAACTAACAATCTATCTCTGAAAAACTCCTGGTCAATGGGAATGATTGAGAACAAGGAAACAAGTAAACGTGTACTGTTTCGGAAGTATTAAAGAATACCTTTCTAGGAAATGCTGAACAAAAGCCATCCACTATCAAAGGTTAGCAGACTTACTTTCGCCACCATATTGTTCCTAACACCAAAATAGCAACATTGCCAGCTAAGTTTTTGACTGGCTTGCCATGTGCAACTTGAGATCGTTATGCAATTAGAACAAGTCGGGTGAAACCAACTTCAAAGGGAGATGTCAAACTAATACTGGGGGACTTGGACACATTGAATATAAATAGAAGATCACAATGCTATTGTCTTTCCTATAAATTTCTATATAATAAATGGCAAAGTTCAAACAAACAAAATGTATGTACTGTCGAGAAACAGTCACTAGTAAATGAGTGTATTTAGCCAAAGAGTGCACCCTCCTAAAAGCAGTTTGAGCTAATCATCTAACAATCTTGAGATGTGCCTAACAAAACAGTCAGCAACTTGGCTGGCAATGCTTCTGTTCGGACAATAGATCAACAGCAACTAGACAAAAAGTAACAAGTCATTGTTAATGACACAGTCCCTGTTGCAATCAGAGGAAATGTTATTCATGCTTATTAGAGATGGCCAAAAAGCAAGATGGCTTTTAACTGATCACATGCATAATATATGCAAATATGGACAAGTGAGTGATTAATAGATAACAAATTTATTAAATGATTTCTAAATTTGAAATTTAATGTATGATTCGGTCCAAAGGGTTACCGAATTGCAAGGTTTTTTTTTACTTTGTTCAAACAGGGCCAAATTGCTTTTACCTATTTTTAATGGGACATACCGGTAGTGTCCTGGCAGAAATAAACTTGTTTTGTGGGAGTTAGGCATTTCTTTATAAAAAAGTTTTCAAAATAAAAGCCAAGTTGAAATTTGTTAACCGGTATGTCTAAACAAATGTGAAAACTACTATTAGTATGTTGTGTATTACATTTTCATGATTGGAACTATTCTGCTTAGTGTGCGGGTCAATCTTTTTCTTCAGGGACCTGTTGACGAATTAATTAAACCTGCAAAATTTTAATTTTAAACATGAAGTATTATTCACTAACCATCAAAATAAGAGTTGTAAGGTCAGTTACAGTTAAATTGAAATGAGCAGTCAGGGAAATCTACTTTTAGTTTATTTTTAGCCAAAAAGTAATTTCAACCACATTTGTGAAGTGGGAAGGTATTTTTCAGACACTGCATATGATGTTGGAATTGAAAATACTATAATTATCCGAATATTAAAGATAACTTGGATGCATTGAGAAGGTAATCAGAAAATAAAGAATGACAAATGTTTATTCAACACAAATATTACAATAACTTAAACGCATTACAGAGCAAAACAAACAAACTGAGGTAGTACTAAGAAAGATGAGCTCAGTAATGTAGATTGGACTGATGTAATAATGGTTTCATGACTGTTTTGTTAATCCGTGGGCAAATATGAACTTTGTAATAGAGCAAATAAACATTGCTAGGATTTTGCTATTCACCTGTGGGTACTCCTTAGACATGTCAAGGATTACAAGCAATGTCCAGTTTTATAATACCATGAACAAGTCATTCATAACTGAACCTTTGATCAGTGTACAACCGACTTCCCACCAAAAAACACAAAATTTTATACATTTACCGACAAGGTTCATGGATATGTAACTGGCAATTTTAAAGTTCATGCACAGTTAACTAGAGAATACCTATGATGCTATGCTTTGCTTTATTTTATATCTTTTAAATGCATACTGTAAAATACTTTATTTTGGCTGGAATTAATTTTCGCTGAAAAGACTTTTTGGGTGTTACATTGTATGTATGGAATTATATTTTCACTGATTTTTGATGAGTTGAATGTGAAATATAGGAAAAAAGGTCTATTCGCTGGATTTTATTTTCACTGAATCATTTCTTAAGGTAGCGGGGCTATTATTTGCATACTTGTTTTCATCTTCTAATTGTGACTGAATGACTACAAATAGACCCGGGAAAGTATATATTTTTAGAATCGTCAGACTTCAAGCTTTTCACAAGTGTATTTTGCAAGTCCGTATCTGCATTCTACGACGCGTTACTCAATCAAAGGTGAAAAATTACTTTTTCTGTAAAAAAAATAATTACGCATTTATGCTGGCGGTAAGAAGTATTTTTTTCACTTTTCCTAGTTGTTCAATAGTCTGGTAAATTGAATGTGTCTGGTCAGTTTTATTCAAGCAACGCGTTTTAAAAAATAGTGTGCTGAATTTCAATTACTGTTTTAGTCGCATTG